GCTGTGAATCTCACAGCATAGTGGGTGAGCAAGGTGTAGGATAACAACTGTGTATGTTAGCATTAGTTAGTTGTAGGATAACAACTGTGTATGTTAGCATTAGTTAGTTATGTTAGTTAGTGAGTGATTGGACAATAGGCTAAGTTAATTAGCTTAACAATGTGTAATATATATAAATTAGCATTGTAAATGCTTACTTACTTTTTCAATACAATTGTGAGCTTTTCTCCAGAACCGACTTTCACTCTCTCTTCTTCGATGTTCTCTAAGCTCAAATATCGCGCATCAATGTCGTGATTTAATAAAAAGATTAACGGAGGATATTTGTGAGCTATTTTTATTAAGGCATTTTTGCCCTTTTCCGTAATAAATGGATGTTGCTCAATGATATTTCTCATTTTAATATGTGAATCATAACAATAAATTGTTTGATTTGAAATAAACAACTGATACAAACAAGTACAGACTCTGAATCACTTATGACAAATCCTTATCCAATCCTTTGAAGACAAACCAGTTAAAATTGAATGGTCGTCATTTTGTTTTCTTATCCCCGTCTCCAATTCCTACCGATGTTAACTAACCTCTTTTGCACTTCAAATTAACAAACTTTCCACTTCCACTTTTTCGTTTCTTCATTTCTTTCATTTCATTTTTCACATCTTTCTATCTCTCCAATCTAATTTATAAAAGAAGGAGAGAGAGGAAAGAACATTAGTCAAATCATGACTCCATCACAGGATAATGAACAACAAAAACATGTTATGGGGTACCCTTTAATATCCAAATATAATCAAAGTATTAAACAAGGATTCCCTTCACAATATGATAGTAACCAACAATACAATTCTTTTTCTCAAGGCTATATTTTACCTATCCAAGGCTATCCTAACCCTAACCCTAATTTATACGTATTTTCATCATCCAATTATCCGTCTAATAAATACGTAACAATGGCGGCTTATAATCCAATGGAAGAACAAAACAATGGAAACTCATCATTTGGTCGTTTGATGGTTATTTTGATGCTAATTTTGGTAGTAGGAATGATCATGTTAAGCCTAGTATTTTGGCTACTTTTGGAACTGAAGGACCTGTGTTTCATATATTAGCTTTAAGTGTTCCTAGTTTTAGGATTATTAACTCCTCAATAGTTGGAAATTGGCAAGTCAATCTCACTATGTGTAACATGAATGATCACTCAAACATCAAAGTTTTTCATGGCAAGACTTCCATTTTTTACAAAACTAACCTATTTGCTGTGACCCCTTTTGATCCTGTACGTTTGGAGGCTAAAGGTACAAAGAATATGTTGTCCAATTTGACCACATTACCTGAAGGAAATGTTTTGGATCAATTGGCTATATCTGAAATTAGTAAAGATAAAAGTGATGGGGACAGAGAATTTTCCTTGGAGATTTCTTTAAAGGCTGTTTTAGCTTCTGATTTAGAGTGGCAAAGTCATAAGATGATGGTTTATTGCAATAATTTGAAAGTTAAGTTTGGACCTGAAGATAAAGGAGAATTGGTTGCAGCTGACAAAATTAAATGTTTAGTCATTGGATAATTGATTTGGTAAGTATACCGCTGATAACCTCCTCCATTGATTTTTCACCACCCTTTCCAACCTTCGCTATATTATAGTTTATCTATGATCTATGTTACTTATTATTTTACTTGGCCATATTTTTATTTTATTTTTTTCCAATTTTTATTTTTGGAATTTCTTTTCCAAAATGTACTTACGGGAAGTAGTAGTTTGTTTCGCTAATCAATTTGAAAAATATTTTTGTCAATATTAGAGCAGCAGTTTGTGCTTGGCCAAGGTTCTAAAAGTGCTTCTAGGTAATTTTTTTCAGCTTCTCAAAATTATTTCTGCTACTATTCAGAAATACTTTTCCCCCTAAAAGTTTAGCCAAATACCTAAACTCTTTAAAATAAGCACTTAGCACTTTTTTTTAGAATTTTTTTTACACACTTTTGACTTCACCTAAGCTTGTCCAAACATGCTATATGTTTCCTTTAAATTCCTGAATGCTATATATATATATATATATATATATATATACTTCTTTTAGCCTGATAGATTGAATTGGAAATTACGTAGCATTCCAAAAGATTTATCTAATACCTTCCCAATTCATGACATTTTCTTAACTATATTATATGCAGTTAAATTGCAGGAAGGGTACGAGTTGTATGTACAAATTCTAGGGATGATCTTCTCGTCTAGTTATGATTCTTGGCAAAGTGGACGTTCTTTGGACCAAGTATTTGAGAACAGGCAAGAGGATTTTGGTAGGAATATTGGACTAAAGCTGAGCTTTCAGTTTATTTTATTTCTTCTTTTTCTAATAAATCAAGTCCTAAGTTTTTCATTAGATGGATTTAGTTTTGGGCAATATATATGTAACTGTATTGCACCAATTGGGAGGCTGGTTTGGGCATCCAATAGGCCCCAGTTTAATACATTTTTGTATATATTGTTAATTTGTACAGTGCTTTTGAAATACAAAGTATATTGTTACTTCTCCATATTCTCTTACGATTTATTTTCTCCTTTTCTGTTGAAAGGTAAGTTTCACACTCGCCCAAAATATCTGTTTCGAAAGGATTAAGTTGGACCGATATGCGTGGATGATACATTTTTGATCACTCAAATATTAGTACATTTTTATTCCGATACTTATGATATATAATTCAATAAGTACATTTGCCCTTGAATTAATTTAATTAAATGTGTGTTATTTATCCCATTACGTGGAAAATTATTGAATTTTGGATTATTTTTTGAACTATAACAGCCTCAAACATGAAGTAACCATATAAATTTAACATAACAGACGAGAAGAATTAACCAAAAGAGCGCTCACTTAATCGCTTAAACTAGAAATAGCTGGTGGAGATATAATATATACATAACTTATGTACTATATGTGTATAATTATGTATAATTAATGTATAATATATGTATAATCAATGTATAGTCTATTTATATGGATAGAAAAAATAAATAATGAATGACTGGCTATGCACCCACCCAATCGCTTAAACTAAAAATAGCCGGTAAAGGTATAATATATGTATAATGTATGTACTATATATGTATAATTAAATATAATATATATATATATATATATATAGATGAAAAAAAAGTAAATAATGAATATGACCGGCTATTTATATAAAGATTCCAATAATTTAATGATTTATGAAGATTCACACGTCAAAAGTGCACACTTCAACTGATCGAAGGTTAAATGTCCATAACGGAATATCACAAGACCAAAACTTAGAATTTGTTAAAATTTCAGGGACTAAAATGCAAATATTTTATTAAAAATTTCAAATTTTATAAGCACGATGTTATAAATTTATTATATTATAGATGTTCATTTGGTACTCTGTTGTAAATAAGCTTCCTGAAGAAGTTTATCCATATGATATGAGACTCCGCCGTAAATATATTTATCTATTTAGTACTCTATAGGAAATAAGCCTCCTAAACAAGCTTATCGTTTCGGTACTCCGTTATGAATAAATATTACCCCTGGTGGATGCTATCTATATCTGATACAATAACAACTTACAAGCAGCTTACACAACACCTTACACAGCAACTTACACAACAACTTCGTTTCTTCTATAAATAGAGGAGATTTTCAGTTCATTATGTACATCAATTTAAAGTTAAATAATATATCAGTTTCTCTCTATACTTGTCTTTACTTTACAATCTTTATTTTATAACACACAAGTAGTTCTTAGCTCTCGAGGACCTCTAAATCAACCATAAAAATTTAAGGGGTGACCAGGTTCTACCCTGCTATTTTAATTATATCCAATTTCTTCAAAAAACTTAACTTTTACTCAGTGACAAACTTAAGACAAAAGCTTTTCCATAATTATTCTTCAGATTTCCATATCAAATCAATAGGTTCAAATATGTTTCAGGCACAGTGATTTCGTAGAAATGACACCAGGTAGCCACTCTAAAGGGTTGCTATTTAATAATTAATCAGTGTATTTTAAATTTTAGTTTTTCGGTTCAATTTTTCAGGACAAAAATAAGTAGGGGCTGAATCCCTAAATAGCATCCAGGAGGATTGCTAACCGTAAACACGAACAGCCCGCAAAAATTCAATTCAGATTCACACTTCCTTTTTTTTTGTTTTTAGAGTCAACTGTAAATTGTAAATTAAATTTCAGCTAAAGCGGACAATTCCCAACAGATTTCAAACAAGCAAATATTCAACGCACTCCTTAGATATTCCAATCCAAATTCGAAACTACATAAGCCACCTTTACTCGGAACGGGACATCGGAGGATTCAAGGCAGTGCTTATCATTAGAGCATCATTAATGTGATTTTGCATATTTTTTAATTTATGTTTAATGTATTTTATTTGAAAATTTAAAAAGTGACAAAGTTATCCAAGCCTATTTTTTTTTTTGTTGGACTCGATCCTAGTCTAGTATCATCTTTCAAAGAACAAATGAAAGATGATACTACAACATAGTTTTTTTTTCTGATGAAGGTGTATATTAAATTGAAATTAGAAAAAAAAAATAAAAAAATCTTGATGAAGGTGTATATAAAATTGAAATTATTCTAACCTTGCGATCCTCAATCTTAACCAACTTCTAGAAGTAGATATCCTTTTTTCCCGCGAACTAGAGGTACGTGTCCTAAACGAGTAGTAATATGTACGTAAAACAAGTAGGTTTTTAGCTCTTCTATAGTCCTCACAAATTGAGAATTCAAGTTTATGTCGATCCGAAGAAAAAGCTTTATATATTACCTAGCTATTAACAATATTTTAAAATGGAACAAAAATCTTAATAAATTTTCTTTCTTGAGTTTTCTTCCATCCTTTAATACCAAAATCTTCGGTTTCGTGTTTCTCTTATTTCTCCTTTTTCTGAATCTCCTCCTTCTCTCCTTGAATCTCCAGGCAAGAAACTATCATCCTTTCTCCGGGGAAAGGGGACAATTAACCATGTCAGATTCTTCAGTTGATGATAAAAAAGATGAAACAAAACCAGTTTTAGATCATAATTTTCCCCAATATTATCCCAATCCTGGATATTATTATCCTCCATATGATCATTTTCCAGGATCATATGGACAACCTTATCTTGGTTATCCTAACCCTAACATGCCACAATGCCTTTATTTCTACCCAAATTACCAATCTGATTGTTATGATAATAATAACAATAATATAAATACTACCCCTCAACCCGAATTATCAAATGTAGCCCCACCATCAAGAAAATCGTTAACTTTCTGTCGAGTCTTGTTTTGCCTTATTTTCATTATAATCTTGGGTATCATTATCACTCTCGTAGTTATATGGTGGAAATTTTTACCATATGAGCCCAGATTTGAGGTTGTATCATTCGTTGTGAATTCGTTCGAGATATCTAACTCCTCAAAATTGAGAGCAGATTGGGAGATAGAAATGAACGTGTATAATCCTAATAAGAAAGTGGATATTAAGTTGGAGCATATAGCAACTAGTTTGATGTACAAGTATACACTTCTTGAAACGTCGTTCAGTGCACCTTTTAAATTGAATAAAAAAAGTGAGGCTACGATTCGTGCTGATTTTGATATTCCAAATTCAAATCATAAGGAAATGGGAGGTCTTGTTGTGAATGATATAGCTCGAGATCGAAGAAAAGGTCATTTATCTTTTGATTTGAGGATAGAAGCTAAAATATTGCATATAGAAGGGAACAAATCGAGACGCCGAAAAACAGTGTATGTTATATGTGAAGATTTAAATTTGGAGTTCAAGAATTCTTCTAGCTTGCCAAATTGGGATGGTTATATAGTGGAATGCACTTTCGACGATGGTTAAATCCAGTCTTTTTGTTCTTTTCTTTTGGCTGCTTTTATGATCAGTAATTTTTATTTTTTTTGGTTAGTTATTTTCTCTTTTCTTTTTCTTCTAGAGGTAAGATAAAGTTCTAGAAAAGAAAATGAGTACGTTCTATTTCTTTTTTGTTTTTGTTTTCTTGGAATTAAATAGCAGAACGGTTCACCATTTTAAAAAGAAATATATAATTGGCAGCATTTTGTAGAGTGTTATGGATTCCTGGGGGTTCAAGTACGTTTGTTTAGTTTTCTTTGCCGCACTAAATCTAATTGTAGAGATTGAATTCAAAAACAAATGCTACTGTCTCTCTCTATTTTTTGTTTTAGTTATAAGAACTGAAAAACAAAGGGCAGCTCCGTATATAAGGCATCCCGCGTTCATACGGAGTCCGGAAAAAAGCTACACCCAAAAAATGTAATATAGACACCCAAGAATTGCTCATACTTACAGCTTCTTTTCCACTTTTCAACTGAAGGTATATGATATGGTAGCCTTGAAGAAATTTCATGGTTCTACACATTAACAAGAAGCAGCGGCGACACGCAACTTTATTAACTCAAGAGTTAAAGCTATATATATGCACTAACAATATAAAAAAAATTCAGGTAATTAGGTCACTTAAAGTAATTGCAGATGACTTAATTTGATAAGCATTTATTTGTAATCTATGTCAATGTACATAACTTAAATCCTTTACGATATCTTATTTCCGTGTCCATCACTTTGTTCGCCAAGCTCGAAGCTAAATCTTGTAGCCACTCTTATTCGCCTCTTCGATTTTGTTGCTTCATCTTCACGTATAGGCAGTGTAAGAACGTGTATATCAAAGCAAATTAGATAGTTACGGATATCATAAAATGATAACTTACTCGTTCTTATGTAGCAGAAGCGGAAGATAGAAATAAGCCGCAACTGAAATTACTGATGGACGATGATTGTCGCGATATATCGGAGCTGTATTGGGAAAAAATTGAATTTACATTGAAGGTGACGTGGCATGACACGAGGAATGGTCAAAACATGATGATCAGTTAAGAGACACGTGTGACAACAGATACGGGGAAAGGAAAGCTAAATAGGCACGAGAGGCAATTCGAATAATACAAGTTTCGTACCTATTTAGGTCATTTAAAGCCAAAAGATCAGAAAACATTGAAAACATGAATATGATGACGAAAAGGAGTCCAAATTCAATATTAAATACCCAATGCGTTAGAGAATTGGTATTAAATAGGAATGATTGTATAACGTCTTATTTAATGTCATTTATTGCTCATAATTGTCTCATTAAGACTAAGGTATTACTCCTTTACTTAGAATCAACTATAAAAGGAGGAGGTCTCGTCATTTGTAAGGACAGAGGATATCATAAACATTACATTGGAATACAAACATATTTACTGCTTATTTGTCATTCTCAAAAAGTCTATTATTTTTTTTTGTCTCCTGATTATCAGTAGCCCGAATTTCTATTTGTCTTTAGCTTTGACCAAATAATCACATTTTTTGGTTAAACAAATTGGTTCCGTTACCGGGAATCTGATAATCTTTTCTTTGAAGCTACGTTTTATTCGTCTTTATCAACATGTCAAACAACAACAACAACAATAGCAGTGATAACACATTGGGAAACCATGAAAATCAAATCCATCAAAATCAAGTAGACCTACCGAACATTGACGTGGTTCCCTCCCCTCTAGATTCACCACGTCAATCTCGTGAAGGCACTCCTGCTACTGAATCCCGTGCTGATCAACAAGAACAATCTGAACACTTTGAAGGAGGTACAAATGAAGCTTTACAAAAGCTAATTGATGCACAGGTCGGCAAAGCTCTTCAGGCTCTAGTTAGTCGATTGCCTGCTGCACCACCCACACCAACTCCTAATAATAATACATTGGAGAATCCTCGTTCTGGTCTTGTTAATTCTGGAAATGGAGGAACCACCAGTGAACCACAGGAAGGGGGACCAGGTAATTCAAATAATTCCTATTTGCAAAATTTAGTACTAACCTTGCAGAAACAGATTAAGGAACAAAATGAACGTATTGAGCAAATCCCTGGAGTTCCGCCTGTAATAAAAGGAGTAGACATGGACAAATACTCACAACAACCTTGGAAGCCAAGTGCTGCTCCCCTTCCAATTCCGAAAAAGTTCAAAATGCCTGACATCCCGAAATATGATGGTACTACAGACCCACGTGACCACGTGACTGCATTTACAACAGGCGTAAAAGGCAACGACTTGACCAAACAAGAAATTGAATCAGTACTGGTCAAGAAATTTGGAGAAACACTCACCAAGGGTGCATTAACCTGGTATTCTCTTTTATCTGAAAATTCTATAAATTCTTTTGCTGAGCTTGCAGATTCTTTTATTAAAGCACACTCGGGAGCTCAAAAGGTTGAGAAAAGAATGGAAGATATTTTCAAAATCAAACAAGGGGATTCAGAGTTGCTCAGAGACTTTGTTGATAGATTCCAGCGTGAAAGAATGACTCTACCCCATGTGCCTGACAACTGGGCTGCAATAGCTTTTGCAAGTAATTTAAATGACAAAAGTTCTGAAGCCACGAGAAGACTCAAAGAAAGCCTTCGAGAATTCCCTGCAACCACGTGGAATGATGTTTACAACAGGTACAATACGAAGCTGCGAATTGAAGAAGATACCGTACCTAAGTTTCATCATGAAGAAAGGGGCGGTTCCAGAAGATCAGAAACCGAAAAAAGATCAGGTAAAAACAGGTATGATTCATATATGGGACCTGCAGGAAAAGACTCACGGTCAAAACAAGATAGGCAGCAATATGATCAAAAATCGAGGAACATGGAATCTGGTTCTTCATCAAAATTCAGAAATGATCGGAATAGACAAGAGTCACGAGATGATGACAGAAGTTTAAAGGCAAGGTTCAGCGGATATAACTTTAATGTCACTACCTCCGAGCTCGTGGCTGTTTTGAGAAGCATGGGAGATAAGGTACGATGGCCAAAAGAGATGCGGTCAAATCCAAATAGACGCAATCCAGATCATTGGTGCGAATTCCACAATGATCACGGGCACAAAACTTCAGAATGTAGATTCTTGCAGAGCGAAGTGGATCATCTATTAAAGCAAGGGTACCTCATTGAGTTATTTAGTGAAAAAGGTAAACAAGCCTATATGAAAAATAGGCAAGAGCCTCCAAAGCCTCCTTCACCCAAGATAACAGTGAATGTAATAAGTGGGGGAGAAGATATTCACGACATAACCTACACAGCTTCCAACAAGGTTTCTAAAGTAACAATTACACACGGGAAACGTGTACGACAGGTTTTAGAAAATGAAAGTATTTCATTCGATGATGCAGATATCGAAGGAGTGATAACCCCACATAATGACGCACTGGTAATATCTTTACTTGTACATGATACTAACGTAAAACGAGTTTTGATTGATCCAGGGAGTTCCGTAAATATTATACTACTAAGGGTATTATGTGAAATGCAAGCTGAAGACAACATGATACCCAAGGCGCATACCTTGTCAGGCTTCGACAATTCAAGTGTGGTAACAAAAGGAGATGTAGTTCTAACAACTTTTGTTGCAGGTGTTGTTAAAAAAAACTAAATTTCAGGTAGTTGATATGGAAATGGCCTACAATATGATCATGGGGAGGCCTTGGATCCATGATATGGATGTTGTTCCATCAACTCTATATCAAGTTCTTAAATTTCCATCACCGTGGGGGATTTGTCAAATTCGAGGGGATCAACATACAACCAGGAGTATCAACGCTGTAACAGATACGAGAACCGTAAACAAAGAAAAATAGCAATTACAGGAAATAGTTGAAGGTGTCAGCAATCAAACCTCAACTGAGCAAGAGAAAACAGATTTAGACTCGAGACCTGATACAATTCAAGACCTTGAAGAGAATGAAAATATCAAAACAATTATCGAAGAACTCGAGGCTGTGATATTATTTGAGCAGTGGCCTGAACGGAAAGTTTATGTTGGAGCTAATTTAAACTCAAACATGCGAGGTATGTTAATTGAATTTCTAAAATCTAACGTGGACTGTTTTGCTTGGTCCTATGCTGATATGACAGGGATACCACCGGATATAATGACTCACAAATTAAACGAAGACCCATCTTTTACACCAATAAAGCAAAAGAAAAGAAAGCAAGGGGCTTTCAAAAACCAGGTGATTCAAGATGAGGTCCAAAAGCTATTAAAAATTGGGTCAATCCGCGAGGTAAAGTACCCTAATTGGTTAGCCAACACAGTTGTTGTACCTAAGAAAAATGGTAAGTGGCGAGTCTGTGTAGATTATACAGATCTTAATAAAGCTTGTCCAAAAGATTCTTTTCTTTTACCACATATAGATCAATTAATTGATGCAACTGCAGGACATGAACTTTTAAGTTTTTTAGATGCATATTCAGGGTACAACCAAATTAAAATGGACCCTAGTGATGAAGAAAAAACTTCTTTCATCACAAACAGGGGGACTTACTGTTATAAAGTAATGCCCTTTGGTCTCAAAAATGCTGGGGCAACCTATCAAAAGTTGGTCACCAAAATGTTCCAAAAACATTTAAGAAAGACAATGGAGGTATTTATAGACGATATGCTCGTCAAAACCCAGCAGTCTCATGATCATATTTCCTATCTATCTGTTACATTTGAAATTTTGCGAAAATTTAATATGAAACTCAACCCAGAAAAATGTGCATTTGGAGTTGCATCAGGTAGGTTTTTGGGTTTTCTTGTTTCTAACCGTGGTANATGGTATTGAGGTAAATACTTCTCAGATCAAAGCAATAGAAGAAATCCTTGATATCCTTACTAATAAAAAGGAAGTTCAAAGATTAACGGGAAGAATTGCAGCTTTGGGGAGATTTATTTTCAAATCTTCAGAAAAATATTTTAAGTTTTTCTCTGCACTCAAAAAGCAAGATCATTTTGAATGGAATGAAGATTGTCAACAAACCCT